CTTACACCCCACACGTCTCTCATCCTGCGTGGGAAAACAAAACCCTGCAGCCTTTTCCCTCCTTGATGGGAAACGCCTGCCTAAGATTCAGACAGATCTGATTTTTGAATCCTGAACATGCTGGATAACCTCTCACAAGTCACCACTTTTCTCCACTAGTTTTTTTCCAAAGTGGAAAATGGTAAGAGCAACCCCACGGTGTTGTAGGGTTAGTGGCACGTTAGAATGAACAAGTCCCTCGGGGTGGGGGGAATTTAGCTGAGCACAGGGCCTGTCCCCAGGAGGCACCGAGTCAGTGTTCCAAATCCCCATCACTACCACCACCAAGCCAGGAGGAGGGAGGCACAGCAGTCACTGGACCTGTGTGTCCCAGGCTGTGGTTGGGGCTAGGGTAGGGCTGGTGTGGAGATACTGAGAGGCAGGAAGGATGGAATGAGCTAGGTCCTCTGGCAGGGTAGTTGGCAGGAGTGGTCATATACCACCTCCTTTCACTCCTAGAAGTAAGCCAAGGAGTTACATCTGCAAAGGCAGCAATGAAATGCCCACTTTGAAACGCCTTCTCCTGTTTCCCTCCTATTTTGGAAGCAGAGGGTGGAGATCACTCAGCCCCGTGGGTCTTAGGTAAAGCAGAGTGGGAAGGAGTCCTAGCAGAGGTGCAGAGGGGCGGACCTAGATAAAAAGGATCCTTAGCTTATGGCTACATACATGTTTCTCTGTGTAGCTCATAGGTGTGCATAGGATCTTGCAGATGCAAGATTATGCGTGAGAGGTGTGCACATCATGGTCCCTTAGGAAGGAGCAAAACTGGCAAAGGGTCATGCATGGAGTAGACTTATTCCTCTCTGTCCTCTCCAGCTTAGCTCAGCACGAAGTCTCAGGTTCACTTCTGGGCTCTGCCACTGATCCCAGCCATGACCTTGGACCAGACCCTTAACTTAGCTCCGAGTCTCTGTTTATTATGAGCCAAAGGGAGAGAAGGCATCCTGCTGACTATTTTCTTGGCCTGCCTCGGGGTCCAAAGGGGAAGGGAAGAACACCGGGGTGAAAGTGGTGGGCACCGCGACCTCCTAGAAGCTGCATGCCATTCTCCATCAGGTCTCTCAGTCCTCCCTGCCTCAGTCCCCACGCCCGCCTCCACGACCCTGTTATTCTTCCATTCTTCCTCAGAAGCAGCCGATCTCAGGCACTTACTTAATCCTCTCCGGAGCGCGGAGCTCAGTCTGAGAAGCTAAGGGTGGTAGCGACGGGCGGGCGGGAGGCGTGGGCGGGGGGAACACCCAGGCCCGCGCGTTGGGGGCGACAGGTCCGACCCAAGGTCCGCCTTCCCTGAACGCAGGGATCAGCTAGTATTAGCCTGCACCGGCTGACAGCCTGAGCTGGGGTGGGCTGGGCCGGGACCATGGAGGGGGTGGGGCTGGGATGAGCAGCCTCGGGGGATCCCAGGAGCCGGAGTGCCTTGCCTCCCGGCCCCCTCCGTGCCTCCGAGTCCTGATTGGGTGCCAGGCCTAAAACTCGACCAGCATTGGCCTACTCGCCTGTCGCTCGGATATAGCTCCGCCCCCAACGAGAGCTAGGAGCTGAAACCCTTTTGAACTGCCAAAAGAGATTCTCAGAGACTACCTCTGACCCTGGTGGCCTGCCGGAAGTTGGGCAGCGGACTGTAGGTGGCCAGATCCTTTCTGGGCCAGAATTCGGGTCCTGGCCAGCTCCGCCCGCACTGGGACAGACTTGTAAGCCGAAAATGCATAGGTACAGAGGTTTGGCGAGAGCTCTAGAGGAGTCTTTGAAGCCTAATTGAACGCTGGCTTAATCTTCTACTGAGTTTATGTCCTTGAACAGCAAACTGCTTCTCTTCCTTTGTCTCCGCTTCTCGCTTAGATAGGAACCCTGATGAAAGGACTTTTTTGCTAAATTTTTGGTAAATGACTCCAACTATGGGGCTACAAATGAAGAATCTTCAGTCCAGAGATATTGAGAGCAGAATGGAATTATCTGAGTGACATTATAATGATGTGCCCTGACCCAAGCAAGCCTACCTATCCCCCTCATAATAGCTTCCATCCACAGCAAAATTCATGTCAGGACAGAGGCACTAATTCCCTCTACTCCAGACTTATATCCCCAGCCCTTTAAAACTACCCCCACCCCCATCCCGTCCGTCCCATAGACAAAGTATCACACTATTGTTCAGGATGGCCTGATACTATGTAGCTCAAGCTGCCCTTGAACCAAGGCAATCCTCCACTTCTTGGGTGCTGGAATTTTGAATTTTAATGGATTTTTATGTGTAAGGATGTTTTGTCTGCATGTATATCTATGCATCATGTATGTTCCTGGTGCCTGAGGAAGCTAGAAGAGGGCATTGAATCCTCTGGTACTGGAGTTGCAGACTGCTGTTAGCCTCTGTGTGGGTGCTGAGAATTGAGCCTAGGTCCTCTGGAAAAGCAGCCAGTGCTCTTAACCACTGAGCCATTTCTCCCGGACTCCCATGTACTGGGATTTATAGGTGTGTACTAGTATACCCGATCCAGCCCCAAAATCATGACTTATTATTAGTTATGAATGCTTGGCCTTAGTTTAGGCTTGTCCCACTTGCTCTTATAACATATTAACCTGTTTCTCTTCATCTACGTTTTGCCTGGGACTTTTACCTTTCTTTCCTTCTGTATGTCCTACTCTGTGTCTGTCTGTCTGGCAGCTGCCTGCCTGGCTGACCCCAGTGCCTCCCTCTCTTTCTCCCTTATTCTCTCTCGAGCCTAGAGTCCTTCTTCTACTCATTCTCTCTGGCTGCCAGCCCTGCCTATCCCTCTACTGCCCAGCTATTGGTCACTCAGGTTTTGTTTTTTGTTTTTTTTTTTTTTCCGAGACAGGGTTTCTCTGTGTAGTTTTGGTGCCTGTCCTGGAGCTCGCCCTGTAGACCAGGCTGGCCTCAAACTCACAGAGATCTGCCTGGCTCGGCCTCTCGAGTACTGGGATTAAAGGCATGTGCCACTGCCACCCAGCTCAGCTTTTTATTAGACCAATCTGGTGCCTTAGGCAGGCAAGGTGAAACAGCAACACACCTTTACATAGTTAAACAAGTGCAACACATTTTTACATAGTTAAACAATTATTCTGTAGCACAAACAAATGTAACATATCTTAGTTAAATAAATATTCTATTCCACAACACAGCCCCCACCCTTTCATTCCAATTTTTTATTTTTTACTTTTTGAAACAGAGCTTCTGGTCTCTGTGTCTCCACCTCCTGGGAGCTGGGATTTATAAGTGTGTATCACCATATCCCATTTATGGGAATCAAACTGAGTATTGTGCATGTTAGGTAGGTGAGCATGTCAACAACTGAGCTACCCGAATAAACTATTTTTTATTTTTATTTTATTTTATTAAAATTATGTGTATGGGTGGTTGGGTAGGTGTGTACATGTGAATGCAGGTGTCCACCGAGGTGCTTGGAACTGAAGAATATGTGCTCCTAACTGCTGATCCATCTCTTCAAGGTCTCTTCCCACCTTTTTAATTTTGAGACAGGTTTTTACTAAATTACCCAGGCTGGTCTTGAACTTAGGATCCTCCTGCTTCAGCTTCTCTAGTAGCTGTGATTACATGCCTGTATCACCAGGTCCTGCAACTGCTATGAACTTTATAAAAGGCGCAACTAAAGCCTAGAAAGGTCTGAGCACTTAAAGTTAAGCAACGAATTGCCAACAAAATCAGGATTCGAATCTAGTTTTCCAGCATTTGCTTTTCTATCTGGTCCAAATTTTATGTGCATGTGAGGTCGAGAGGGTCTTTAGATACCTAATCCCTTCCCGAAAACAGAGACTGCCCCCAAACACTGGAACCCAACCACACGCTGCTAGACCCAGCTTGCAAGCTGTTAGAACAGCATCCTTCCTCCCCTCTCTAGCCTGGCTCTCAAACCCAACACAGACTGACACCCGCTCGGTTTGTTTCCGCCCATACACCGCCCCAACTGGATATGTAAACGCGTGCTTCAAGCAATCACTGCAGGCTGGAGCCACATCTCTGCTGCGACCTTAAGGAAGACTAATGGGTCTGGGACCCTACAGCGCACCTCACACGTCCCCACACTTTCCCACTAGTGGGGCTGAGGGTGGGTGCGGGTCAGTTCAGCCTGCCCGCCCTCCCGCAGTCTTCAAAGGGGGAACCCGGTGGCTGTAGGAACCCTAGACCAGGGAGACGTGGTGCACCGGAGCACTTTCTCAACTGCACTGGAGCGGAAACAAGGCGTTAAGGGAGGTTACTGCAGGCTACGCACATCCGGGGCCGACCCTGGGGCTGTCTCCCGGTGCTGGTGTGTAGGCTGGGTAATCGTGCATTTCCTCTATCAGGTATGCACCAGAGGAGGAAACGGGGTGGGAATGTATGACCACAACATTGCCTTTTGAGGCCAGGCCAGTCTTATCCCTCACAGTCGGGGGAAACAGGCTTGGAGAGAGGGCGTGCTTACCTGAGTCGTTGATAATGTCCTTGAGGATTTGGGACGGAGCTTTGCTTCCTTCCGGAACTGGGTACAAGTTGCTTCCTACTTCAGCCCTGTCTTTGAGACTGTGGCAGTTAGCAAGTGCTCAGCAGACGTTAGTTTGGACCTTACTTAATTTGCTTGGAAGTAGAGGGGGCCACCGATTTTAAGTTTTCAGATAACTTATTTGTGTTAAATGTAACACTTAATTTTTCAGCCTTCAGTTTATGCTGATGTCTGGGGTTATGGGCTAAATTAAAGGGAAAAATTCAGGTTCCAAACAGTGATGGTGCATACAGAATGTCAGAAGCAAAGCTCCCAAGCAGGGCAGTTTCCAGCCATCCATTAGTGAGTTATTAGTTTGTGGTGTACTGTCTTCCAGACCCTTGACATCCATTGGTCAAGGCACCAGTCACCAAAGAGCTGGTGTTATTTTTCCCACATTATGATCAAACTGAAGTCAGAAACAATGATTTGACTGAGCTCACACATACATATGTCTGACATATGCCCTACTCCCAAACCCACACCTTGACTATTAGCAGGGACCAGGCTCTACCAATTCAACCTACTTAAGCTGGAAAAAAAAAAAAATTACTGGCCAAGACAAGAAGAAATCAAATAGGTGGTTGAGGGTGTGAATATAGTCCAGGAGGTAGCAGACTAAATACACATTCTTTTCAGGCAGCTTTTGAATCTTTCCATATTCTCCTCTAGGGTGACAACAACATCTGAGAAACAGAATACGGGAGAACCAGAGCCCATGGCTGATCCTTCTGCACCTAGCCCAGCCTAGGGATCACTCCCAGCACCTCTCCCTGTGACTGGTATCACAAGGGAGACTTAGGAACTTGCAAACATTTCTCCAAGACATGAAGCTTTGGGGGCGAATACTTTGGACCCTTCTATCTGGTCCCAGGGGAAGGATGGGAGCCTCCCAGGGTTGGTCCTTCAACTCATGGAAGCTTCATTCATCTCTGACTGGACTGTTGAGTGCCACAGGGGTGGCCAGCCGGTGGACACAGGTCTTTGAGGAAAGAGGTATCCCAGAGGCCCGGGAATCCAGTGAGTACATCGTGGCTCATGTCCTTGGAGCCAAAACAGTTAAGTGCCATGCTAGGGAGGATAGGAAGAGGGGGGAGGGAGAACTCCAGGGAACAGATACTGGGGATTTTTGTTTTGTTTTGTTTGACTTATTTTGGCTCAATCAGTGTGCTTAGATAAAACTGGTGGAATTTTGCTGAACAAATGTTTCAGGCAGATACTTATTCATTCATCCAACAAACTATTACAGTGTGTTCCAGGTACTACAGGTTCTGGGATGATTAAGTGGCTAGTGTTGGTTGAGTCTACAAAGTGTTGAGCCTGTTGTCCACACAAGAGACCTGGGTGTATGTCTCTAGACCAAGGGAACCAGCCACTCACATTCTCCTTGGGGACAGTTTCAGAGCCTGAAACCAGAACTTTGGACCAAGCCACTGACCCCTAAACAACTGCAGTGCATCCAGGAACTGTGTAGCCATCGATTACAGAGGTAAGCAGCCATGGACAGATCTGAAGACTCCAAGTCAGGAACAGAGAGACTCATCCTTCCCTACTCCCACCAAATTATGATTGTGGAGGAGTACAGTGTCTGAGGACTAGGGAGCTGTTGGGGTGAGGAAATGGCAAGAGAGGGACTAGTGTAGTCAATTTACAGAAGGGAAAGAGGGTAGGCCTAGACTGTGTGTCCTCGGGCATTGCAGACAGGACCCTGCCTGATAGCCTTGGCTACAGTCGCTCTCAACTCATCTCTGGCCTTATTAATCCTGGTTCTGGTACTGATGACCCCCTGGATGCTCCTCTTGCAGGATGCCGGTGCAGTATATCCTTGGCGAGTGGGACTTTCAGGGGCTCAGTCTGAAGATGGTACCCCCAGTGTTTATTCCACGGCCAGAGACTGAAGTGAGTATATAACTGAGATGGGTCAGGATGGGGCTGAGGAAAGATTCGAGGTACTTGTCTTGCCCCAGACTTCCTCCAGGGGGTGCTGGGGCCCCATGGCTGCCATTCACAGGGGCAGTGACCTTCCACACTTATGTCTTGCTGGCTAGGTTGGTTGAGCCACGATAGAGGACTTCTCTTGCCCTGTCCCTTCGACTTCCTTCACGTTCCAAGCCTCTGCCCCAGCTCCAAGGACAGGAAGTGACATAGAATGCTCCAAGTAGTGTTGTCCCAGTGCTCAGCTCATTGTGGCCGTAACTTAGGAGCTACCCTGTAGGCTCATGGCAGACTCAACCCATGGGAAATAAATGACCCCCAGCAACTTAGAGAGCAGGGGAGAAGTAGATAGGCCTCCAGCTGGACACCTGGAGGCCTGGTGTGAGCAGTGTGATTTTATAGGTGGTTGCTACCTGCTCTGGGCTCAGACGATGAGTGTTGGCCTGTCAGGCCAGGGTATCTGTGACTCAGTGGTTGGCTTAGGTCTGTGGTCTGGTCAGGTGATTGTTTGTGTCAGTCCCTCAGATTACCAGAACTGGGGATTGTGTGGCCCATGCATGCTGTCCCTTGGGGACACACCCTGATCTGGGACAGATGTGTCTCTGTCCTTCTTGCACATCCTCCTTATTTGATGGCAGAGCTGGGAGATGGAGAATGGACTCTGGCGTGAAGTGGGGCTGCCTACAGGATGGTGAGCAAAACCAGAGGGTGCTCGACTCTGGAAAGGATGGTTTCTGGGAAGATATCTTGGCATATAAACATTCTCGGGAAAAGTCCATCCCTTTCCACCTTTCCTAGCAGGGCCTGCGGCTATCTGTCCTTCACCCTTTCCATCTCTGTCCCTTGGTCAAGAATCCTCTGATATTTCTGGAGAGATGGCTCAGTGGTTAAGAGCACCAGCTGCTCTGCCAGAGTACCCAGGTTCAATTCCCAGAACCCACACGGTGGTTTACAACGATCTGTAACTGTAGTTAGTCCCAGGGAATCTGACATCCTCTTCTGGCCTCTGTGGGCACTATATGCACACTACATAGGCATACATACCAGCAAAATACTATACACATTAAAAAAAAAAAAAAAAAGAACCCGTGGATCACCTAGTGTACCCCCTTATCATGTGGTTGAGAGACTGAATTTCACTTCATCCTCCAAAGTTGGGGCAGAACTGCAGGAAGCCTGAGGCCTTGAGAAGTCAAAGAGCTGTCAAGGAAGGGACCCATGGGCTGCACCTGAACGTTCTGACTCTGTCCTGTTTAGTGCTGACATAACCTGGGATGGGGTCCGAACATTCAAAAGCAGGATGTGGCCTGTCATCTTCAGGCTTTTGGGGGATTACCCTGTAGCTTCCACCAAATACGTGACTTCTGGCCAGGATATCACTTGCCATCCTTGGAGAATGTCAAGGCTCAGAACATAGAAGGGCAGCTATCATGGTGGGATCTGCCATGCGTTTTTGGATTCTGGGTGTTGGGTGTGAGCTTTCAGCTCCCATGTGCCCCACCCACTCTCGGTGTGTCTGGGCCAGGAAGGCAGCTTTGCTGCTTGAGGAGGGGAAGAGTGAGGATGCTGTGGTTGGGAGGCCAGGTCTGCCTCACTGTACAGACATTTCTGAGAACTTACCAGGTTTGCCCCAATGTGAAGCCACATCAGGCAGGGGCGCTTTACTAAGAAATGAAGAGGACGTGGCCTGTGGCAGAGTGGAGAGATTGGGTGCAGGGGAGGGGTCACAGTCTGTATTTTCTATCCATCAAAGGGCGGTTTTTGATGGTGGGTGTGAAAGTCTGAAATGCAAAGTTGCAAGTGGCTTGTGGCCTGATGAGCTCGGTTTTCCCTGGGGGCGAGAGGGTGGCAGTGTATACAGTGGGAAACTGCAAGGCTGGGGTGTGAGCCACCCTTTCCCCACCCGGTGTGGCATGGCTGTGAGAGGCTCAGTGCTGTCATTGTTTTAGGGAGGCAGTACACATGACTAGGGTCAGCCCCCCAGGATATGATCCCAATAGAGGATGTGTATGGGACATCCTTCTGAGACCTCAGGGATGCTGTACAGGGGTTATGCAGTCCCATCTGGAGCAGTGGCTCTAGGCGAAACTACCCACGTCCCTTCCCTGCCTCTGTCTCATGTCTCTCCTTCTGTCACTCCATGTTTTAAATTCTTCCTGGATTCAGTTCGAACAGATGATTGGGTCTGTGACCAGCTTGACTAGATAGGTCCTTTCCAACAAGCCAACAGCTTTAGGTAGAGGGAAGGTCTTTACTGCATAGGGAAGAATTTTCTAGACTTCCTGAATGTAGTCTCGACATAGATAGTTCCCACATAGTCCCCAGATGGTCCTACGATCAAGATGAGCTTTCCATGGTCTGTGGTAGATGGGAAGGTAAGAGGCCGCTGGTTGCAATGGGGGCCCAGTCTCTCAGCCCTGCCCCAGGTGGCCATTTGCATGGATGGTATGTGTGTCTGAGGTCAGGGATGCCTCTGAGGTGGCTAGCCAGTGTGGGCTGGCTGAGGGGTCATCCTCCAGCCAGAGTGGGCTGTTTGTGGTCAGGAAACCCAGAGAAACTCACACCCCTAACACAGGCTGTTATTTTGCTGGCCGTTCAGTCTGTTGCCTTTACCACAACCTCTCAGTCACAGCCTTAGATTGCAAGCTGTTCACTGGTCATAAGCCCAGTCTGCTGCACACACCCCAGTGCTCTCCACTCATGCCTGGCACAGACCTGAACCGAGCTCCCTCACCTATAGACAGTGGCTTTTTTAGTGCGGAAGGGGCTTGGAACAGGGAGGGTTGGTCCAGCTCTCCAACTTCTGTCTGCTTTGGACTTGTTACCTTTGGTGTGAGTGAGCATTGCCACTGAGGTAGGGACCCTAGGAAGGACGAAATGCTTTTTGGGACTCAGCAGACAAACTTGAAAGGGGGGTTGGATGATCTGGTGCTGTTTGCTCCACTGGGCCTGGCTGGGTCAGACCCCAGGTCTTCTCATAACTTAATATGACAAGAGAGGCAAGCCCTGGCCTAGATCTTCAAGTCAGGTTGAAGATCTTTGGGTTGTAGAGATGCAGCTGGTCTGCAGAATGAAGATGTTCTAAAGACTGTGTCCCTCAGTCTATCAGACTTGGAAACAATGGACCCCAAAGAAGTAGGGATTTCCTGCGAAATCTCATGCACTAGTCAGAAGATGAGCTTGTCTCCCACAAAGGGATCTCATAGTCCTAACAACTTGTCAGATCATCTTATGGATGAGATTGAAGTCCATGCAATGATGTGTCTGTGGTGGGCAGGACCACACCTTGACCCGCACTGCTTAGACCTGCATACCCTTGGCCCGCTATTTAAATTGTGATTTCACTTCAGGAATCTGAGGTAGACTTGAGGGGTTTGCTGGATCTCTTTGTCCCTCCTCCCAGTGTGGCCACATTGGACAAATCTTTCTTTCCTCCTCCCTCCCTCTCTCCCTCCCTGCCTCTCTTCCTTCCTTCCTTCCTTCCTTCCTTCCTTCCTTCCTTCCTTCCTTCCTTCCTTCCTTCCTTCCTTCGTTTTCTTTCTGCTTTCTACTTTTAATTTGGCTCTTTTTATTGGCGTATTAAGGATGGGTGGCCAGGTCTGATTTGGGGCACAGTTTGTGACCTCCCAAGTCTACTACCAGAGATACTTCACAGGGGCTAAGGAAGGCTTCCTTCAGAGAGCTCTCACTTGCTGCTTCCCTCTGAGGTTCCAGAGCCTTGAAGGGGCCTCTGCCCATATCCGAGGGGGGTTGTCTTTGGGAAGAGACCACATTGCCCTTTCCCTGCTGCGTGCTTGGAGCCCCGACTCTACTCTGTTTAGAAACATTCCAGCTATGGGACAACAGCAGCCTTCACCCTTCACTCCTAGCTCACCCTGTGGTGATTACCACATACAGCTTCAGTCGACATCAGGTGGGGGGCAAGACCCCAAACCCTCTTGGATTCGTGCTGATGACATCTGAAAGTATACTTTTGCTGTAGTAGTGGATACCATCCAGACAGACTCTTACCACACCTGTGCCCCTTTACCATGTTCTGTGTGTGCCACAGCCACCTTCAGGGGTGAGACTGGGTAGAGCTGTGTCCCTGCCCCATTAAGGTAATTGCTTGTCCCTTTGGCCTAGGAGTCTTCTGGGAAATTCCCAAACCCAGCTCTGTGAGAAAGCTGAGGACGCATCAGCCACCCCTGATTTATTTATTTTTCCCCTGTGGTACTAGGGGGTGGACCTTACATGTGCTGGGCAAGTGTTCTTCCTTTGAGCTGTATCCTCAACTCCAAGCCTTTGATTCTTGACCACTATGAGCCACAGTTCAGGCTCCAGGTAGGGTCTTGACCCTTGGGTGTTTCTTCATGAGCCAGTGGTGATGATCCAACCAGTTAGTACAGGCGCTGGAAGCAGGACCAGGCACAGAGGGATTGGCAGTCAAATATGGTTCTCAGCATTGCTGTGAGTATAAAAACGGGAAGATGGCCGGAAGGGCAGAGCTGAGGTTTATTGTGCACATATGCTGCAGATGAGGGGCCAGGTATATGATTCTGATTCATCTTTACTGTGTTCCTGAGGGGAGCGCTCTGTTCCGCAGATGAGTAAAATAAGGCATGCAGGGACAGAATGACCCATCCAGGGTCCTTGCTGATGTGAAGATCAGTTTGGCCTTGGCTGTCCCTCATCTGCCTACCTGCCTTCACTAGGAGCTAACTGCTTAGACCTCTTTGTTAAGGCTCCCGAAGAGCAAGAATGGCACCCAGTCTGATCCAGACCCTCTGCCTTCCAGGAACTGGTTGAATGGGTTTTAGGGGAAGTGGCCCAGCAGCCCCCTGCAGTGGGAGCCCAAGGTGGTCCCCTCATTCTGGAGGTGGGCTGTGGATCAGGAGCCATTGCCCTCAGCCTACTGAGTCAGCTCCCTGAGGTAAGCCCTCTCTGTATCCCTCTGCCCTGCCTTTCCCTGACATCAAGATGGTCACTCACTGTCTCTTCCATTGGCCCTTCCTCCACATCCCTCTGCTAGAAGCATTGAAGGAAAGTGGCCAAAAAAGGAAGATATGCCCAGTCCAGCATGGCGATAGCCTCTGACTTCCATCCCTATCTGTCCGGCTAGAGCCCAACTATAGGAAAATTTTGTTACATATTTCTTTCTTTTTGGGAGCTAGGGGAGGGTTCCCAGACAGGCATCTCCCAGAACTCTACCTCTCTTCCTTTGTTCTTGGGCAGAGTCAAGTCATTGCTGTGGATAAGGAAGAAGCTGCTGTTAGTCTGACCCATGAGAATGCTCAGAGGTATATGGGCTGGGAGGTCCAGAGGGCCAGCACTGGGGAGTTGGACTTCGGGACCTGAACTTGACCTTTATTCTAGTATCCAACCTGCTAGTCTGACTTCCATTCTTGAGGGAGAGGTGCAGTGAGGGTAGCCTGGCATTGGTCCCACCGGTCTATGAATGGATGGACTCTGAGCAATGACTATATTGCTGATCCAAGAAGGGCTCACTTTCCCTCCTGGTCCTTGTAACCAAGGGTAAAGGCTTGCATCCTGTGCTCACCACCACTTCCCCATCTCTTTAGGCTTCAGCTGCAGGACAGGATTCGGATCATTCCCCTTGATGTAACCTCAGGTACATCCCCCTACCCATCTTCTTGGGGTGGGGATCCTGGATAGAGGATATGGGTAGGTGAGGACTACAGGAATGGAGTAAGAGTTTCCCAGTAACCGTGGACCAGTGGACCACCTCAGACCAGCCCTTGCTGAGGACAGACAAGGTGCTGTTGTTGTCTGCTTGGCTGTCCTGCCCCATGAAGGGACAAGGGACTAGCCACAAGGTCTTGTAGCCCTGTCTGTCTGTCTGCCTCTGCCTCCCGAGCAGTGTGAATAAAGGTGTGCGCCACCACTGCCCAGCTACAAGGTCTTTCTTATCTTCTGGATCCCCTATAACTGATAAGTTTAACTAGGGTTTGTTTATTGGCGAGAGATAAACAGATGTTCAAAGGAGAGCAGTTCTGAGCCAGGTATGGTGGCCTCTACCTGTTATCTTAGCAATGGGGAGGCAGAAGGACTCCTATGAATTCAAGGCCTGTCTGAGGAACATAGTGAGTTCTAGACCAGCGTGGGATACAAAGTGAAACACCTCAAAAAAAAAAAAAAAAAATCAAACAAAACAACAAAGAAAGAAAACTTTCGGACCAAAATACACATGTGCCTCTGTCTCCACCCGGCCTGGAAGAGGTGGTCAGGCCGTGCCCGGCTCGTGGCAGGTTTTGCAGAATCCTCAGGTTTCCAGCTCCTGTTCTGATTCTTTTGTTACCCATGGAGCCCCCGAACTTTGTGTGAGTGTGATAAACCTGGTTTAGCATCTGGTATGAGTGGGACCCAGAAACAGCCATAAGGGATTGGCTGAGGCAGGCCTGCCCTCGCTATGCTTTCAGACTCTATTGGTTATAAAGCAGAAAGTGGCAAGGCCAGGGGAGCCTTTGTAATCAGGTTTATGGGAGGTGGCATTGAATATTGCTTAATGAGGAGACCTTGACAGCGAGCAGAGAGAACACAGACATTCTAGGTGAAGGGCTGCATGTCAGCATGTCCACCCCTGGCCAGCCTGCTAAGTAGGGACTCTGGCTACTAATCTTCAAGTCTAGCCAGGTCTAGAGACAGACACACGGTATAACATGGGGAGAGGGGCTACCTAAGGGGCAAGGTAGCTTGTGGAGCTACCAACTTTTACTTTGCAGTGGACCAATTCATTCTGTGTATCCGCTTTGCTCACAGAAGGGTGCTGGACCCACCTTTTGCCCTGGGGCCCTGTGGACTTGGTGGTCAGTAACCCTCCCTACATCTTCCACAAGGACATGGAAGAGCTGGCCCCAGAGATCTGCAGGTACAGGGGGGTGGAACAGCAGAGGAGCTCTAATAGGGTTGCTCTGGGCTGGAGGACTTGCATCTGGAGAAAATAGGTGGGCCCGAACGGGACAGCAGTGTCCCCGAGAGGTACACTTTAGATTAGAGCCCACAGCCTTACTGCGACCCTTTTTGCCTTTGCACTTGTGACTCCTGGAGGCCCCGAGGCTCCCTGAGCCTCCATCTCCTCTTTGAAAGAGGAGTGGTGGCGTTTGCAGGACCATGGGAAGAAGGACTTAGCATCGGGCATAGTGAGACCTAATAAAAAGCACTCGCAGAGGAATGTGTCATTTTACACAAGACTAAGACCTAGAGAGGGAGGGTGCCCTGTTTAAGGTCCCATGAGGACTTGTGGGAAAGCCAGCACTGAAATCTCTGGCTCTGGAAAAGCCATGCTGCATTTACAAGGACGGAGAAGGCAGTGTAACCACATGTCCCTACATAAGCACTGGTGATAAGGGGTGGGTGCTGCCTCCTCTTTTCTGGGCTCACAGAAGTAGGCAGGATCAGTTTTAGATGTCCTCAGATCAAGAGCAGGAGCAGCTGGGTTCTAAGGGAGCCTCATGCCCTGAGGGCTGTCTGTCAGTGGGACTCAGCAAATCTATCCAGCCCTGCTCTATGGGGGTGCTGTCTGCAGAAGAGGGGAGGAAGGCAAAACCTGCTAATCCATTTAGGAACCACTTGCTAATGGATCCTCAGCTTCCCTCTCAACCCAGAGTCTGTCCCAGGGGGCCCTTTGTGAAGGCCTGCCTGGCTTGTCAACCCTTTCACATACCCGTCCCCCAGACTCTTACCTGCCACTGTTCTCCCCTTCAGTTATGAAGACCCGGTGGCCCTGGATGGTGGTGAGGAAGGCATGGACATTATTACCCACATCTTGACCTTGGCACCCCGGCTCTTGAGTGCCTCTGGGTATGGACAGCAGCCTCCTCCACTTCCATTGTGTAATTGGCATGCCTTCGCAATCATTGTGCCCCTGCCTCTTGCAGGCCAGACAGGTCGTGGTCCTACCTACTTGAGGTGACCCCTTTCTCCTCTGTGTAGAAGCATCTTCTTAGAAGTGGACCCAAGGCACCCAGAGCTTGTCAAGAGCTGGCTTCAGAGCCGGCCGGACCTGCACCTTAGTCTTGTGGCTGTACGTAAAGACTTCTGTGGGAGGTAAGACAACAGTTCCCATCGCCATACCACTTCCGTGCTCTCTAGCAGCCCCCACCACTCGTGGCATTCCTTAGAGCTTAGATGGTACCCAGATACTCATCCTGTCTCCTCAGGCTCCGGTTCCTGCATGTCCAGAAGTCGGCACCATAGTGTGGCTACTATGTGAACAGCTGGCCAGGATTCTAGCCTGCTGGGTGCCTGGCTGATCCTGATGGAATACTGTTCAGAGAGAGGTGTTAATGCTTTCCAGAACCCCAGGCATGGTTCTGTGATTCCCTACGATGGATGCTTCTAGGAGACTTGGAAACAAGGATGGAGTGTTCTTCCTGGGGGAGCAGAGAACAGACTCAAGAGCTGGGTTTCCAGCCTAGCTCTTTCCCCTCAGTGTAGCAGGCTACTTGGTGTGTTCCTGTCACTGGAATTGCTATGAAGATATTGGGAAATGTGGCCAGTAAAGTATTGAGAGAGCAATAAATGGTAAACCAGTGTTTTGTTATCAGTGTTTGTGGGCCCTTGTCCCCCGTGTAGGATTAGGCCTGAGAGCCTCCTCCTACACTAGTAAGTCAAGTAGACTGTGTGGTGGGGGTGGGGCCCAGTGTAAGGACAGCACATGATGGGGGGTAGGGGTATGGAGGCTTAGTCATGGCCTTGAACACCATAGGGACTGCACAGAATAGCTCATTGTTTGGGTTAACATCATCTACCTCCAGCCTAGGTATGCCTGCACACTCTTCCTTGACTGGGCCTAGGCTGATCATGGGGGCCGTGTATGAGGGTGACGGTGGGGGGTGAGGGTCTTTGACATGTGATCCTGGGGTTGCATTCCCACATTCATGTAAGTGAATGTTTGAGACAGTAGGGTGGGGGAAAAAAACCCACAGGATTTTTGTTTGTTTTTATTGACAATTCATTCCAAATGTAGAAATTCAAATTTGGAGTTCAAATAACCGTGTATGCTTCCCTGGTTGGTGCACCCAACCAAGTCTGGGCACTGAATTGTGACCTTCACCCCAGCTTTGGGCAGATACACGGCTACCAGGAGGCCCAAAGACCAGCCTACTGTCAACAGCAACAGGAAACTTGGTGGTGAGTGTTGATGCAAGGCCGCATCTGGGTAGTTCATCAAGCGTGTCGAAGACTAAGACGTTCATTCTACCTGACTCTTCTCTGCCCCCAGCATGTGCAAGGTGCTGCCTGACCTAAGGTACCACAGCCAGAGAGAGTGTGCTCTGATAGGCAGCAGCTCCTCCAGAGCCACGACAGCTGAGTTCCAGGTCCTGGCTTGGAGTTGGTCCCCAGTCATCTCCTTTCTCTATGAGGCATGGACTCTTCTGAGTTCAGGGGCAGTGCAGGAAATAGCTTCATTTTATTCTGTTCTACATCAGCAAAGTAGAACATGCATGCTGGCATCTAAATGCCCAGTCCAGGCAGGCGGGTCAAGGCGCTAAGAGAAGACCTGCCTGAAGTCCCATGATAAAGGGAGGCTAGGTTGTGAAAGGAAGTCAGGTCCTCGCCTTTGGGAGTCTGTATTTCTGGACTTAGATCCTGTGTAAGTGATGTCTGCTGCTGTGCTTAGAGGGTATATTTGTGTTGGCAGAGACCATACTGCATGTGTCAGAGCCCCCGCATCTGACCCTGGTGACCTACCCTATGTCCAGCCCTAGATATGCGGCCTGCAAGCTGTCTCGCTTCCTTTGAAGGCGGGAGCCTGGGCTTTCCCTCATGGCTATTCCAGAAAGAACCTGGGAAGGTAACAGGGTCCAGCCAGAGCAAGGCTCCTCACCTCCTGAGCCGCCTCCGCCATTTGACCTTTGCTTGCCGAAGCCTGTGTGAAGATTGCCTTCTCTCTCTCTTGCCTTTGTCCTTTGGCTCTGGCTGTCTTCAGACATCAGGCCGCCCTGACCCCACAGCAGTCTGTTGCCCTCTTGTCTCACAGCTTGGGTTATACTCAGTCAGTGCCGAGTTCTCTTGACAGTTTTCCCTCCGGCCTCGGGCCTGTCTGAGGTAAGGCCTTGGAGAGCCTGTGGGTATGGCACCCAAGAGAGTGGAGAACGACAGTGGAGGGGCAGCTGGGGTCACTGGAGCAAGAGCCACCCTTGGGACGGCTTCCTTCCCAGAAAAATGTAGGGCCTGCCTCCACTGGGATTTCAGTCCAGGCCAAGTAGAGCGGCAAGGCAGGGCCCCCAGACTGTAGCTACTAGCTTAACTGGGCTAGACACTGAGTTGCCACACTGGAGCCATATCAACCCAGGTTTAGATTCTAGAGGCTGCCCCTTACCAGGATGTGACCTTGGGCAGATGACTTGGCCTTCTTCAGCTTTGGCCTCCAAACCTTGAGAAACAGGGCCAAAGTGCTTTACTGCAAGGATGGCTGTGAGATTTTCTTGGTACATTGCGGGTGTTTCTGTTGCCTTGAGGACAGACAGGGAAGGTCCTGTACCCTGCTGGGTCAGCTCAGCACCAGCATGAGGCAGGCAGAGACAGCAGTCAGCCAAGGAAAGATTTCAGTCCTGGGTTCTTGCTGACTCTCCCCGCTGGAGATGGAGCCAGCAGGAGCAGCCGCCTCCTCCCTTCACTGCCTCTCTCCCCCAGGGCCTGAGTACCCAAGGCCCAAGCCATGGCAGCCAGTGGCTCCACTCTGGAAAAGCCAGGCTCACGTGCCCCGTCCTCCTCTTTCTCCTGATGCTAGTGCCAGAAGCTTGGCACAAGTCTCGGATTCCCTTGGGGCCAGCGCAGGAGGGTGCGGTGCAAAAGGTACCCCCCAGGCTCTGTAGGCTGTACAGGCTCTGAGGTCTTGAGGCCAGAACCTGGGAGGTCAGTTCTGTCCCTTCCAGCAGGTGGAGAAACTGTGGTCTCACCTCATAGTTAGATGACTTCTGTAGCTTCCTATGGGTTATTCAATGCAGCTTATTTAGCTGACTTATTAAAATGCGTCCCCAGCTACAAGAAATATACCCTTTTCTGCGTGCCCACTTCCGTGGACCCTGGGCATCTGTTCCCAATCTCATTTCTAAAGCTTGACTGGATCCCCAGTACCTAAGTATGGTGTCTGTGTCCTGCAGAGTGCTGTCTGAAGAGGTGAGGGAGGCCAGCTCTGAGAAAGGCCCTAGGATACCCCTCTCTGGCCATAAGTAAGCTCTGTCAGGATAAAGGGTTTCACCACTGATGGGTTTGAGAACTGCTGGGCTGAAGTGGGAAGCCCTTCAATCAGCCCGGCCTCATCTTTCCTTATCCACCTTCAGATTCTTTACTGCCCTGCAGTACCCTCTTGAACACCTTCCCCTTACCCTAGCAGTGCATCCTTCTGGAGTGTCCTTGCCCATCACTGCCAATCCATGCCATACCTGCTAAATTCTAACACACCTGCCCTGACTTTGTGTTCTAGCCTTCCCCTACCCACATCTCTGTCAGTGTCCTGCCGGTATATCTGGCCCCTGAATTTGGAAACCTTCCAGTCTCATTCTGGGAACCACTGTGAGACTGGCACATTCAGGTTTAGTAAATGTCCACCAATAAACTGACCCCATATCCATTTGCTAGACTTGAGGCTAGAGCTTCCTGAGTGGCCCATATCTGACCTGACAGTAGCTCTCACATACCCAGTCAGCAGGGAGAGGAAACCGTGAGGTCTGGCTTCCTGCCTGAGCCAGGCAGCTGTTCAAGTTGAGCCATAATCTCTTTGAGGGCTTCAGTGCACCTGATCCCCACCCCACAGCATGCCAGGAGAACAAGCTGTCCTTGGCGGCCGCAGGAGCAGGCGCCAGGCTTCCTGGAGCTCTCGGCCTTAAGCAGCCCACAGTCAAGGCTAGGATGGTGGCCTGATCTCTCTTTATGAACTCTGCCCTGAACAAGACCCTGGGTGTGAGACAAACAAAGCCACCTTATTAAAGACACCTATGTCCTTGTCCCCCAGCCTGTGACTATTACTTTATATGGCACAAAGGACTTTGCAGATATGAATAAAGATCGTGTGTGTGTGTGTGGGGGGGTGTACCTGTATGTGTTCACATGAGCATGCAGATGTTGAGTGCATATACATGCACATGCATGGGGAGGGGCAAAGGCCTCAGTCACCACCTTATGTTTTGAGATGGGGCCTTTACACAAGCCCCAGGGCTGCTGCCTCCATCTCCCTGATGCTGGGGTTACAGATGTGACAGCCATAATGCTGGGGTTACAGATGTGTACAGCCATGATGCTGGGGTTACAGATGTGACAGCCACGATGCTGGGGTTACAGATGTGTACAGCCACGATGCTGGAGTTGCAGATGTGACAGCCACGATGCTGGGGTTACAGATGTGACAGCCACGATCCTGGGGTTGCAGATGTGTACAGCCACGATGCTGGGGTTGCAGATGTGACAGCCACGATGCTGGGGTTGCAGATGTGTACAGCCACGATGCTGGGGTTACAGATGTGACAGCCACGATCCTGGGGTTGCAGATGTGTACAGCCACGATGCTGAGATTGCAGATGTGTACAGCCACGATGCTGGGGTTGCAGATGTGTACAGCCACGATGCTGGGGTTGCAGATGTGTACAGCCACGATGCTGGGGTTGCAGATGTGTACAGCCACGATGTTGGGGTTACAGATGTGTACAGCCATGATGGTGGGGTTGCAGATGTGTACAGCCATGATGCTGGGGTTGCTGATGTGACAGCCATGTCTAGCTGTTGCGTGGGTGCTGGGGATTCAAACTCAGGCCCTCAAGTTTGTGCAGCAGGTAGTTTACCAGCTAATCCTTCTCCCCAGACTTGTGACTACAGGTCTCAGGAAGGAAACGCTGTCCTGAGTCGTTGGGGTAGGAGCAGCGCGACCACGGTGTCTACAGGAAGGAGACAGGGATGTCTAAAGTGAGAGGACCTCTGGGTCAGTGTGCTGTGATTGAAGGAGGAAGGAGCCATGAGCCAAGGAATACAGGCAGCTTCTTCCCTAGAGCCTCAGGAAAGAATGCAACCCTGCCCACACCTTCATTTCAGCCCAGTGGAATGGGATTTCTAACCTCTAAAATTATACAGTGTAGTCGTGTGTATTAAGTTACAAAATCTGTGGTAATCTTTTATAGTTAACTCTAGGGAACTAATACAGATCTTGATGCTCCGTGGAGCTTGGATTAGTCACCTTTGCATTCTTTTTTTAAATGTTTTGGGTTTTTTTTTTTTTTTTTTTTTTTTTTTTTTGAGACAGGGTTTCTCTGTTTAACAGTCCTGGCTGTCCTGGAACTTGCTTAGTAGACCAGGCTGGCCTAGAACTCACAGAAATTCACCTGCCTCTGCCTCCCAAGTGCTGGGGTTAAAGGCGTGCGCCACCACTGTCCGGCTAAAATTTTTTTTAAATTTATTTATTGTGTATATATACAGTGTTCGTCCTGCTGTTCACCTGCACTGCATGCCAGAAGAGGGCACCAGATATCATTACAGATGGTTGTGAGCTACTATGTGGCTGCTGGGAATTGAACTCAGGACCTTTGGAAGAGCAAACAG